AACGAAATAATTCATAAACATTTATTAATCATTTTTAAAAAGTTATCCATTTTTATCATAATTTCGAGTTTTTAAGATTTTTAAAATGTTCCTGAAAAACTGGAGGGATGTATGGTAGTAAACACATAAGATCTTTATGTTTTTCTTCCGTTACTGGTCTAGTGGTGTTGTATAATGGAAGTAATTGAATATTTTCGTATATTTTTGGTCTTCCTCTTTTAGGTGAAAGATCCAAAACTTGGAATTCAGAATCATCTAAAGAAGTCTTATAAAACATTTTATAAGGTTCATTTTTCAAGAATCTCATCCATTGAATTTTTAGCCAAGAGACAGATTCGCCCGCGGTATTTTTTACTCTCCTTGTTATTGATTTTTCAAGTGATTTCATTGAAATAAAATCCGGCTGTGACATTCGTTTGATCGAAAATGTATTTCTTTTTCTACAATTTTCGATCAATTCATAAATGAATTCCGTATAACGTTGTAATTACAACTACTATCTAAAGGTTCATTTTTGACGATATCGTAAAAATTACATTGAATAAATTTAGTTTAAAATCATGTCGTGTGAAATAAGTGATAAATTCATTTTCTTTTTAATTTTGACTTAGACCACTTTCATAATTATAGGCACATATGGTACAATAAAATGATCTTATCTTTTATGAACATAATTTTACAAAAATTATGATTTGTAGTTTCGTTCGGTGTGATAATTTATAAAACATTGAGACCAAGATGCATTCTTGGTTTATCTGGACATGTATCACAGAAACAGGTCGTCTCGTGTCTTCCATCTGGTTTGTTTCGACTGGAACAAACTTTGCAATCTTTCTTTGCGCAAGTAACAATTACATGCAGTTTCCCGTTTAGATGAATTTCGTCAGAGTTGGTCATCGAACTTGAAGATCTATCTCGTGGTTGACGAAAATCTCCTCTCAATTTGTTGATCAAAATCTTGCGGAAGTTCAAACGTTTAACTGGCTGTTCGTTTCTCTGCCTTTTTACATGTTTGTAGAGAATGTACGAATCGATTGAACGAATTTCCAGTCTCCGAAAAAATAATTTGCGCCACCACTTCAGGGACTTTCTCATAAAACAGTACGTTGGATAATGTTCGAGATAACGAAATTTAACATAAACACCGACTGTCGCCTCTCGCTCGCCATTCGTCCTGCCGCGCGAAATGCCGTGGCGACCGAGAGTCGCCTCTCGTTCGCAAAGGGTTAAAAGATAACCCAGTCTTCGAAAGCTCGTATTCGCTGCAAGTTAAACCTTGCATTGTAATAATAATAATAATCTATACTTACTTGACTTTGCAGCTATCAGAACGGACCGGATACCTATCTTCTTCAGCTTCGGGACACTGACTTCCCCGTACGTTTGCGCGAGTACATGAAGGTCGCTTGCAACCGCAGCCCAGGATTCTCCCGTACCATCGCCGAAGAGAACTTCGACTGGAGGGTAATTGCTAGCTCCTGATTCAAGTCGAAGGCTTTATCCGAAAATTCTCGATTCGCTCTTTCTTCTCAATTCAGGCACCAATTATACGGGAACGTCGTCGTTTCACGGACGTAATGGACGAAGAGATCGACGACGAGAGGCGTGCCAGGATCAGCAGATACGGAGCTCCCGATAACTTTACGCTGAGGCGTTTGAAACGCGAATTGGGAACGCGATTGGACAGCTACGCTGAAGCTGAAGCGATGCTGGAGTCCAAGAAGGAAGGACATCTTCCGTTCTTCCGCGAGAAACCGCAGATCAGACCGATCGAAGAAGGAAAGCCTGCTCAGCTAGTCTGCTTAGCCGTGGGAAGTCCTAAGCCGTTGATTCAGTGGTTCAAGAACGATATAATGATCCAAGAGACCAGCAGGATAAAGGTCACCGAGGATCAGGACGGACGGTCTATACTCAGCTTCAATCCGACGAAGGAACACGATGTGGGTAGCTACAAGGTTGTAGCCAGGAACACGTTGGGACAGACCGTCGTTCGGTGCAGACTGGTAGAGGCTGCCGTTCCTTCGGGTCCCGACTCTCCCGAGGTAACAGTCACGATTAATAAATCTCACGACACTTTCCTAACAAATTGGCTTTTCAGGTTTCTGACCTGTCGGACTCGGAGATCCTTCTACGATGGAAACAGCCCAAGTACGACGGCAATTCTCCGGTCCTTTGTTACAATCTCCAAATTAGGGAAGGCGACGGTATCGAGTGGATAGACCTTGCCTCGAACATCGATCACGAATTCTTCCTGGTAAGGAACCTGAAGCCGGACTACAGCTACAACTTCCGTTTGGCGGCTCGCAACCGCATCGGCTGGAGCGAGAAAGGAATACCTTCGAAACTGCTCAAGACCAGGCCGACAGGATGCCCGAAGGTTCAGATAACGCGGGCAATGAGGCATCTTCAAGAGTTAACGGAAGCTGGACAAGTGATCATCCCCGAGGAGGATAAACCACACATGGATTACTCGATCGAGGAACATCCGATCGAATGGTCGACCGAGACGAATCTGACCAGCAAGTATAGCTTCATATCGGAGATAGCTAGAGGCCAGTTCTCCGCCGTGGTGAAAGGCTTCGATAAGTCCACGGACCAAGTGATAGTAGCCAAGATCTTGGAACTGAATTCGGACACCGAGAAACAGGTGAACAGAGAGTTCGAAGCTCTCCGTTCCTTGAGACACGAAAGGATAGCGATGCTCGAAGCGGCGTACAAGTCACCGGGAGCTCCAGTCGCGGTGTTCATCCTGGAGAAGCTGCAGGGTGCAGATATACTCACGTATTTCTCGAGCAGACACGACTATACAGAGAACTGCGTGGCGACAGCCATTTCGCAGATCCTGGATGGCCTGCAATACCTCCACTGGCGAGGATACAGTCATCTGGATATACAACCCGACAATGTAGTCATGTCCACTGTTCGATCACTTCAGATAAAACTAGTCGACACAGGTTCGGCCAGATTCGTCAGTAAATTGGGCACTTCGGTGCCTAAGCTCGGCCACCCTGAGTACAGAGCACCCGAGGTCTATAACGAGGAACCGGCACACCCTCAGACAGACATCTGGATGGTCGGTGTCCTGATGTACGTCCTTCTATCCGGTACTTCACCGTTCCGCGGCAAGGATCCTGATGAGACCAGACAGAATATCCTGTTCGTTAGGTACAGATTTGAACATCTGTACAAGGAGCTTAGTCAGGAGGCCACGAGGTTCCTTATGTTGGTCTTTAAACGGGCACCCAAGTACGTAGATATGATTGTTTGAAATATTTTTGGACAAATTTATCGATGCACTGTTTTATAAATGTATTTTGTATTTGTTCTCCAGTAAAAGACCACTGGTGGAGGAGTGCCACGAGCACAGATGGCTTCAGCTGTCCGACTTCATGATCAAGAAACGCGAGAGGGCTGTGTTCTTGGGCAACAGACTCAAAGAATACAGTGAGGAGTACCACGAAGAGAAGTCAAAGGTGGCATCCGACAGTCAAACGTTGGCAAGCGAGAGCCTATTAGGCTCGACGCAGAAACTGATCAGATCGACTAGCATACAGGAAGAACTGCTTACCACGTTCTAACGAATAAGATACGATTAAGCCACGACTTTTCCAATTTTCTTTACCTAACGTGATCGTAAAACTTCACGCACATATCTAGTCAGACTTGTGGAGGGCAAGGAAACAGTTACCGAGGGGGGATGATGAAACACAAGAGCTTTTTTCTCCTCCTTGTTCTCATTCTTTTCTTTTTTTGTTATTATTTATTTGTTACAACTTTTAATTATTTTAACAGATACGAACGTCCATCGGTAACGTGAAAGATTCACGAACAGGATGGCGAAAGGAATGATCGGTATATTTGAATGTAACGTAAGGCACACCAGGTTTTAACGAGTCAAGGTACAAAAAACCGGAACCGTTTGAAATTGTACAAAAATGATAATTATATTCTAATAAAATCGCCAATAAATACTAAGTAATAAAGACAGAGGAGATGTACATTTAAGCAAACACAAATATTGTCCCATGGTGTTCACGAATAACGCAATTAAAAAATGTCTTATTATTAAATATGGAATTTATTTACAAATTATCTTCCATCGTTACAATGCTCTATAAAGAGAATAAGCATAATGTACAAATGACACACTTTTCTCTCCTCGTTCCTTGTACCAATAATTACAAGTATAAATTGTATCGTGGCCGCAATGAAATATCAGAACAATCAAAAGCCGCGTACAGTTAATGAAACGAAAGTACAACGAATACAATCTTTCTCGATGACGAAGACTAGCAACAAAAAATTGAATATGAATTTAATCAGTATCATTTAGAAAAACGGGAAGGAACGCAAAAAAAACTGTCAATCAAATTATAATTGTCTGTCAATGTTAGATATCAACTCCATAATTGTAAAATTACATCATTAGGACATTATTGTCTGATTCGAATCATCTTTTTGCATACTGCATAACGTAATCTTTCACCTTACTCCGAAATGATTCCTTATCTTTTATAAAAAGGTCGGCTGCGTCTCTATTCAAAGGATCGTCGAAATTTAAAAGATCCTGAAAAAGAAAACGATAAGTTATTTTTGAGATACAGCATTAAAAATCAATGAAACTTGTATAACTGAAAATTTCTGGATTTATAATGTCATGCTTTTGGACTCACAGTGAAAAGGGAATTTAAGCCCCATACAACATCCTGAAGCTTACGTGTTGGTGCCCATCCCATTCCATCTATACTACTTTGTCTTAATATTGAAAGACATACATCGCCGTCTTCGCTTATATTAGGGTGCCACAGTTTTGTTAAGCAATTGACTTTTGGAGGCTGTAAAGGCAGTTTGTTAGTAACTACTTTGTTGTAAGTGATTATGTTATAGATATTAGTGATGTGTATTTACAGCCATGTTATAGTCTTCGGGTATATAAATCTGGAAGTAAAATCGACCTCCCAACCAGTACCCTTCGTCAGGAACAATTAAAAGAGTGAACTCGTGGAGACAGTGCGGATCATTAAAAGTAACTTGACATGTACTAGGTAAAGTTTGTTCCATTTCTTGAACCTAAATGGATAAAAAGAATAAAAGTGTTAACTAAGCCATTATATGATAGTCAGTCACAATTATTTTCAAGTGATTAATGTAATTCAGAATTCTATGTATTATGTTATACACTATATATACTATACCTCTTTTATGAGTAATTTGTCGCGGACAGAAATGCGTTTGTTATAATCTTTATTTTTGGAGTTCGCTAAGTCACCATCCTTTTTTAATTTTCCTCTAAGGGTAATCATGTTTTCTGCAATTAGATCTGTAAATATATAACACAGGCAATTGTAAAATACTACGAACGTAATTAAAATTGAATAATATAGCAATTTACGTAAATAAAAGCAAATTTCGTCAAACATGCAACAACATATAATTCTTGTCAAATAATAATTTTCGAGTACAATAGAAGAAGATAAACCGTTTTATTATGATCGAATAAGGAAAGTTATTATACGACATTGTAAAAATTACAGTATTGAATACGCTTTATCTGTTGACAAATATCATTTATGATGTCCAAGTACACAGTTTAAGGTTAGGTCATCACATATATGTACTCGAAATTTTTGGAAACTGTACCTTACACGAAAATTAATATTGTAGCACCGCGTAAAATGTTACTGAATGCGGTTTCTTCACTGATCACGCATTTCGTTAAGTTGTGTATAATATTCTCCAACCTCCAGCCATTTAAAAGGAAACGGTAAATATTTAAGTGCACCGAAAGTCTGCCTCTCTTAGTGCAGATGGCAACACTGATTAAAAACTGAAAGAATATTATTTTGTATTATAAAAGCCAACGTGCTGGTTGATTCTCGAAGATTTATAAGATAAGTTCCTGTAAACAACGTAGTAGTGTATCGACTTACATTTGGAATTTATTCAAGAAAAGTATGTCAGTGAGAAATATATTCAAACGTTACACGATCATGAAAATTCGAATAACAACTTATAAGAGAAATCATTGAAAATGACTTTTAACCGTTATTTCACAAAAAGGACAAATATTTTCTATGAGTTTTTGTAATTTTAAGAATTACGTTTTGATAAAATTGCATTTATAAGTTTTTGTACGAACTTTATTCTATGAAAATGCTAGAAAAACATTACAACTACCATTTTTATGCAAATGCATGCCATGTTTGTAAACAGTACGGTGAAAGAGTTTCTTTGAAAAGATGTGGTAACTGTAAAATGATTGCTTATTGCTGCAGAGAACATCAAAGAAAACATTGGCCGCAGCACAAAGATTTATGTAATGTTATATGTAATGTTTTGAATGGTAATCAGATGTCTAACTTTGTAAATAGCGAAGAGGATGTTGATGCAGAAGTATGGGCTGAAATGAAGATGAACTTTATGTTATTAGTAGCACTGAAGCTTCCTAGAAGATTAAAATTTTATGAGGAACAGATGTTTAAATTCTTTAGATCTTGCACAGTGTGTCACAAACGAAACGCAAAAGAACTTGTGGATTGTTTACATTGTCCTGCGACCAGTTTCTGTGAAAAGCATAAAAACAGTGCAACGCACCTAAGTGTCTGTAATAAATTAAAATTATGTTTCAAATTAGATATGGCTTCAGTAATGCATGAAAATATAATACCTGAATTAAATTTACCATATAACATAAAATGTGCAGATATACCAGAATATATGGAGGATTGTATAAAACATTATGTAAATAAAAGAAGATCTTTACACTTGTTAATGGAAGAAGAAGAAACAACGATTGATTCGGAATATCTGACAAGACCATTGACATTTTTTTATGCAATGAAGAAGTTAAAAATTTTCTCATGGGAAAAGAATATAACTATTCATGTAATTGGAGCTAATATGGTAGAAGTTAGTTGTATATATTTTTGGGAAATTTTATTGCATTGGTTACCAGAGTCGACAGAAGCTAAGATCGTATTAATAGGGCCTGAATTATGTTCAGACTCTACATCGATAAATCTTTGTGGTAATTGCCGATTGAATAAGAAACAACTTTCAATTCAAATGCACAATGTATTTTATAAACATTATGTAAATAGTACTTCATACGTGAAACCAAATTTTATTATTGGATACAATGCAGGCTTTAGTGAATATGAAAACTTTAAGCTTGGAAATGATACATGGGCACAATCTTTACAAACAGTTGCTGAACAGAACTGTCCACTTATTTTAACATCTTACACAATGTCAGAAGCAAGGAAAGAGCAAACAAGGCTTGAGGTAGTCTTAAATCGTAACTTAAAGTGTTCATTTTTAGGACAGAATCCATATTCTGGTCTAAGACCATACAGAGATTTTGAGACTGAGGGAGTATTTTATCAGAATCAATATATAATTATTTACAAAACTTTGAGATTACAATAGTCATTACACATGCTAACAACTTTCTAACATTATATTTGTAACAAGTATAATAGTTTATGTTTGTAAATGGAACTATTGTTTCTCTAGATTTGATACTCAATTTTATGTACTACAATATTTATGTAATTTTTACAGTTTAATAAATAATAGAAAAAAATATTAGCAAGTGTTACTTAGTATGCGTATATATTATGTAATTATATGTTCTCTTATAACTTTAATGTGTACCTGAATTTGGTTTTAATTTCAAAACTATTTGAATACAGTAGAATAATGATTATCTGATGTATGTATTCGAAACCAAAATAGTTTGATTAAGATATGGCAATTGAAGATCTAAAAGAATATTTTGAGAGCATCGAAATATGCAAGACATTCTCCTGTATTTCTATTTCGTGAAAACAGTTTATTTGATGTTAAAAATGATAATAAGATCAGATCATTCTTGCCATAAGGTACAATATAAATTTCATTGTGGCGAAATTATGAATCTTCGTTCAGTCTGTACAGCGCCAATTAACTTTGTGGAAAAATGCTTATGGGGCTAGACATCCTAGCGAGGAGCTAACGGTAGAGGGCACAGTTACTGACATAGTGAGACGAAAACGTGGGTTTACGGGTTGACATTTAACTTTCTTAAATCAGCACCCTTTTCGATATTTATTGGTATCATTCGAAGTGCGCGAATGTTAGACTTCGTGAGAGAGGACGCTATCCCCCGTACCCTCCACGGACGCTCTCGTGAATCGGAAGCCCCTGAGCAATCTTAACCCTTTCACTCCGGCGGTTCGGTCCGCCGTAGTGCCATACTTGAACGAGACCCTCCCGCCAAAAGTGTACATATTACGCATGGGCAGTGTATTTTGGAAGAAAACGGATTTTTCTTTAAAACAATCTACTCATAATTTCTACTTAAAAGATATAAACTTATTTAATGGGTACAAAGAGTCTCATTAACAGTTAAAGATAGTGAAAGAATAATATACAGGGTTCCCCGGAAAGAATCATCCGATTTCAAAAATTTATATTTTAAAAAATCACACACAGAAAATTATAATTCAAACACGAATATAACGGGAAAATGTGCGAGTTTTACTTTTTATTATTTTTTTCTCATGTACCAAACCGTTGGATTGGTCGCAGTTCATCCGATAATATGGTTCTACACAGTTAGCCTCCGAGATCACCGGACCTAACCCCATGCGATTTGTGAAGGATCTGGTCTTTGTACCACCTTTACCTACAAGTGTAAATGAACTGAAAAAACGCATTTGTGATGCTGTACAAACAATTACCAGAGATACATT